TATGCGTGTTACACCTTCTCACTCTATCATTATCTGTATCGAATTAAAGGCCGAACGATATTTAAAATCTCTCGATTGGAGTTGCTGATCCGTGTGTAAATCAATTGCTCAATTTTATATTAGCAAATGCATTTATTCGCACGTTATATTATATTAACGAAGTTTAGTAACGTTTATAATAGCTTTCTAATTATAAGGAGCTGATCAATTACAATATATGGCATGGATTTGAAGTTTTTAAGTGATACTAACATTCTTACAAGTTTAATGCTACAATCTTTAATGATGTCATTATAAACTACAATGTTTTTAATGTTATTATTTAAGCAGTTGCGGTCATAACGAAAAAGTTTCTTCTCTTTGCATAGACAATGTTATGCAGCGGCTCGTTACTTGGTTTAGTGATCAATATAAGGACAATGGAAAGTTTGTTAATTTTAAAGTTCTTTAATTAATCCATTCACAGGTTGTCTTTGCATCATATTAGCTTGAAAAATGTATTAAAAATGAAATGCCTGAATTATCGATATTCAGATATGATTTATCGGAAACAACAGAGGTAAATTAAAAGAAATATATTAAAATGGTTATTTTAAGAAGAGAAAGGTTAGACATATCTTTCCCAACTTTTATAAGCCTTGGATATATGATGCAATAATTCAAAATAAGAGGTACATATTTTTTATACGTGATCGTTTGCAGGTTTAGGAGTTGAAATAGCCTCAATGGTAAATTGGTATTCGATTTCCTACGAATATCGTCGAAAGCATAAAATATACGAAAAAATATTTCAAACGTTGGCATTTTTATGGTATGAATAGCTCTTTCATACTTATGCATTTATATTTCCGAAAGAAGAAACTTGGATTTTATAATAAATTATAAAAGCGTACACATTCCAACATTAATTAAAAATGATATTTATGCCAATGTATAAGTACTTGTTACCACATGTACACTATGATATGAATTTAATATAAAATATAATTTCTTCGGAAAAAAGATATCTTATATGTTCCGCGAAATATTGTTGAAGATTCTTTTAAATCATGAAAAAAAGTCATTGAATTCTTTTCTCAATAATAGTTTTTGATGAGTAGAGGATTGATATTTTATTGACTGTCCATTTTTAACAGAAAAATATTCTTTCTTTAGAGTTAGTCACGATCGAAGTAACTTTTATTGAAGAAGAACGTAGAAAAATCCAATATTTATTTGATAAAATAATAGTGAGTTTTCTCCTATGAAATTGGATTATAGGAAGAGATCAAGGTTTTGCTCGAGTGAATTAAGATTATCGACCAGTGCAGTTTCTATAAAAGAATCGAGCATGCACTTTCTGCGAAGCGCAATGAGAGAAATGTGGTTTTCGTTATAGATAATGCACAAAACATGAGTTTGCAGTTTAACGCGAAAACACACCACTCATGAGTTTGTATAACGTGTAAATTTCAAAGTATAAAGTTTCTCTCTCTCTCTCTCTCTCTCTCTCTCTCTCTCTCTCTCTCTGTTTCTAACATTATCTGCTTTGATATGAAGCATATATAAAAATCGATAGATTCGAGTAAAGAATATTTACGTAAAAGCAAAATTAGGTTGAACTTAGGTAAAGTTCAAAAATATTTTCACATACTTAAAATACATGCATTTTGAATGCACACACTTTGTTATCTGACGATGGAATACATTTCCAGTAAATCAAAAGAGTAAACAAAATACAAAGCAGAAGCTCAAACATGTTTGTTAATATGCATAAATAGCAGTATTATAAAGGAACAGTCATTATGTATGTAAATCGACAATTATGTCAAATAATACATTATATCAAGTATACAAGATTAAATAATTTTTATCAAATTCAAATGACACGAAATCCTTATTCTTTCTTGAAAGTTTATTTTCTTTTTATAAAATTGTTGATTGCAACGCGCAGTCGATTACTAACGACCTAAAGTCCACGATAATTACGCTTTTTTAGTGTCATTATTAAAGATTTACAATTGTATATATTTTTCTACTTGAATGAGATTTTAATTGAGCGAGAAAACAGTAAACGGTCCTACTTTGTTATCGAAAGTTATAGAATCGTTTTTTCTAAGTTCTTTTTTTAGATTATTTCTTTTAATTTCTCTGTCGTAGAAAGTTATATATCAAATATAAATTTAACTAGAAATTGAGGAAAAAATTGTATGCATTTCTTTTTCTCTCCCATATTTTATAAACAGTAATAATTCTTTAAAAAAGGTAAATGAAAATCCATAAATTTTTAAACTATGGTATATATTGTATACATAATATTTGAACGCCAATTAATTTTTTTCTTTCCCACATATTATTTTCGAGAATAATATAATGGCAACATATTATTATTCATAATCATGCTTAATATAATGCATTTAATATTTTTCATTTTGAATATTTTGTTATTGGCTCTATATCATATCTTTAATATTTATTAGTGTAATATTTTCCCCATTTGCTTTTTTACATAATGTATATTCTTTCAGTACTTGCTTCTCTCTTTATAATGGTTCAACATAAATTCAAATTTTGTTATTTATGAAAAAAGATTTATTAAAAACTGAATGCTCTTTTCAATATGTCGATAAGCGATAACTGATGCACGAAGCAATTATTGAGAGTATATGAAACTCTAGTATCTCCTCTTTAATTCAAATATAATTTCGTCTTTGTATGTATCAGTATATGATTATAGAAGAATCTTACGATTACTTAGGCGAAAGTAGGCAAAAATATTTCGACGAAATGATTTTTAAAAAAGCGTTAATTAATATAATCATAATTATCATAATTATTATAAATATTAGACGCTGTAATAATTTGAGAAACTAGTTCGTAATCCTAATAGCTACAGCGTCCACATAAAATCGCAACAACGACAATAAAAATATGAGAGGCACAATGGCCGACGTGGGGACATTCGAAGTGACATTATTCGTGACAGAATCGGAGTAGTAACATATTTACGTTACGGAGACCGATCGGTCGATGGTCCAAAGTCGACTGTCGGTCCGCGACAGTGTTGTCGGATACTGGTGGCGTCCCGACGCTTGCGCCGCAGGTCCCGCGACTCAGACGGCGCCCCGACGCTGGTATCGTCGGACGGAGCGATCGGTCGGGCTAACAGTCAGCCTCCAGTGAGCCAAGCAAGCTCTCTTTCCCTCCCTAACGCTCCCCCTTTTCACATATACATGCACACGCGTACAGGATATACGGCACACCGATACACACACATACAACGGAAACGTATATACGCACATACATAGAAAGAGAGAGAGAGAGAGAGACATATACATAGACACGTGCGCACATATATTCTCTCACTCTCACTCCGCCGACATCCTGCGAGAGTCTCCATCCACCGAACGACACGAGAGGGAGTTCGAGTTCCTGGCTCGTCCCTCACGGCTGCAGTGCGTTTCCAAACACCCACGAGACAACCTCGAACTACTTACACGCACGCACGCATGCACACGGTGTTGAAGAGACACGAGGACAAACGAGACGTTCCCGAGGATCCTCGTGGTACTCAGAAGTCGACGAATTGGCTGCTGGACAGCCTGCCACGCGACTGTGTCGTTGATATCAACACAAATGCGTAATTCATAATTTACTTCCCTCGCCCTCCGTTTAATTCCGTCATTTGTCTGTCGTGTATTAACCCCTTCCGTCAGTACACCCGCGAGATAATCTAAATGCCGCAAAAAAGTCTCCACTCGCAAGGTCCGCTCTCGAGTGAATTGTGCTGACTGTTTAAAGAACCGAAAAGTTATACGTGTGTTTGTGGAGAGAACCCGTGAGACCAATCGTGCTCCAATCGAAGTGCGCGAATTGAATCTCGTTCCGATAATGTCGTTTTGCAACGTATTCGATTCGCGATTTTGGTGTTGGAATATTTGAAACCGGGAGGCGAAACACAAAATCTCTCCGAGGTTTTTTTAAAAACGCGATGCTGAGCACATAACGATATTGCTGAAGATTTCTGCGTGACTCTCGCCGCTCCTTACAGATTCACCCTGAGTAAATACAAGGGTGGAAAACATACGTACGCGGAAATAACGACCCTCGTAGAAAAGGAGACGCGCTTCGCCAGAAGCGAAATGTCTCAGATAAAAGCTGATCTCTACTGTCAAAGCCGATGGAAAAGGTAGCACCGTTGAATCGTCAAGTGGAAGTCGGATCAAAATCAATCGAGTGACAAGGTCAAATCCAGGAAAACAAAAAAGAATCGAGAATTATTGACTATTTTAAGTCGTTTCGAGATAGAGACGACGCGATATAAAAGACTTACAAATCGGATGAAAACAAGTTTAGCGAGGAGAAATTGGAATTTCTTTTACCACGTCGAGAACCGCCAAATGCAAAAAGTAGTTCGAGCAAAGGAACGTCCGACAAATCACGAACTGCCATCGAAAATCTGAATATATCGGGGACAACGAATGGTATTTCGATACGAGACTAGCATGCGACACTAGTGAAATAAATATTTTAACGTTAATCCTCTATTATTGTTGAGATTATACAGTGTGTTTTGCAGTAGACAAATATAAATTATTGACAAAGACGTGAGTGAATTCGTGAACGGATCTGCTTAATCCAATGACCTAGTGCCATATGAAGGAGGGTTAGAACGAGAGACAAGTAAACGGGACACGTTCTGCAGTAATGAGATCTAACGACGTGTAAATAGATGTAAATACAGGGAAGTTATTATATATATTATATTAACGCGCGCGATTTTTCTTTAAAGCAAACGAGCAATTCTACTTTATTTTTTCTTCTCTCTCTCTCTCTCTCTCTATCTCTATCTCTATCTCTCTTTCTCTTTCTCGCTTGCTCTCGCTCTCGCTCTCCATATTTCTCTCTATCTTCTTCCTCTTTGCTTCTCTATCATATATATATGTATACATATATTATATATTAAGTATTAATTTTCACTTTATATCTCTATATGTTCTATATTTAATAATAGAGTTTAGATTAGGGATATACGCATTTGTAAGCATATATAATTGATATATCGCTAATTCCGTGTACACTTGCGGAAGCTTATTAAAAGTAAGACATGCACATACAATTCGCGGGTAGCACTTTAATAGACTCGCGTTAATACGTAAATTATATACATATTACATATTACGTGTAGCGTATAAAAATACGTGTATATAGTTCTGCAATCTATAATCTCTGTCGTTCTGATTTTTCGTCAAAGTGTTTTCTCGCTGATTTTGTAGTATTCGAAAAGCAGGTCGGAGCAGTACGGGTATCCAGCGCTTAGCCTTTTAGCCCCGGCGCGATAATTAATTAGCTCGCGGGCATCGTTAGAGTGAAACAACGTCGAGCCGCGCGTAGGACTCGAGGAAAGAAAGCGAGAGAAGAAGCGACGGGGAAATCGCATTTCCGTCACGAAGGGAGAAACGTACGAGCGCGTAATCAATTATCAAGATTTGCACAAAATCACGTCTCACGACCGTGTCAAAACGTCTGTCGTCTTGCGAAATTACTTTGGGGGATCTATGCTAGTCCTAAAGAGAAATTTTCTTACGATCGTCGACACTTTCTCAAGAAAACTTTTCTCGCTTTATTTGCCTCCGGACTATGTAGGCCGCTCAAGCTTAATGTAAAGGAAAGGTAAAAAAATAACGGGGACCAATTTTTTACTCTTATTCTCGTATAGAATAAGACTATTTCTCCTCCTCTCCTTTTCTATCTTATCTATCTCTTTCTCTTTCACCTTCTCTATCTACTTTGATATTCTTAACTAAGTCGCCCACCGGACTGTCCATAAATCTCTGTACACTCTGTCTGTGTTAAGTCTGTTGTGGACCAGTGAATGCAGGAAATACGAGGAACGGAGTTGCGACTCATGTAAGCAATAAATCAGAGACCAACTACGTATGACCACGGCACCGAAGAAAATAACGTTGCAGCAGCACCATAGCAGCACGAAACCGAAGGTGTCAATCACGCCGAAATTAGCTAAAGTTAAGCTAAACTAGATTCTAAAAGATTTGGTCCAATAGAGAAAAAAAGCCGAAGACGAACTTTACTCGCACTTTTTAGCTGCGCTAGGCGAGAGTATAATATATGCGCGAGTGCTACGTATAAATCCTAAAAAAAAAAAAATTGTAACAGCACGAGAAACTTTTAATTCGAGTAAGAGAAAGAAAAAAATAGATCGAGAAATACTTTTCCGATCGAGCGCAGTATTAGCGATAAATTCGAGCAATCGCCCCGAGATACGCATCGATTAAGTACAGCGGAAATCAAGCGTCGACACCGACAAGACCCGACTTTGCAAATTGCTCGATACGGAGAGACGATCCCGAACGAGAGACAACGGCTTCCCCAGGAACGAGCCGAGAGGACGAGGAAGAGCGCGTGTGGCGGCATTTGCGTATTCGACAACGATGGCATTATCCTGAAACGGGCATGACGCCCTTGGCCTCGAGATGCGACGAGACCACCACCCTCCTGTTGTTGCTGCTACTCGAGCTGGCACCCGGGGCACGTTGCTATTCGCGCGCGGCCACGACCTCCGCTTCGTCCTTACCGAGATAGCATCTACAGACCTCGGCGAGGGTGCGAATGATGCCGCTTTTCGGCAGCATTATGACCATCGCCGTCGATAACCCGACAACGGCGTCTACGAGCGTCTTTGAAGGGAACATGACGTGGTCTCGACCAATTAGTGGTGGCTCTACGTTTTCGAGTAACGAGGCCCACCCGACACGTGCGATCCCGTACGGTGAGCGTCAGACCGTGGCAGCTACCAGCGATCGTGTTAATCGCCTCCATAGTGGCGGAGGAGAAGCCGAGACAGAAGCGAGCGAGAACGCTGCCAGAAACAACGAAAAATACACCGAGGGGGACGTGCGTAGCATTGAGACGGGAAGAAAGGGCGACGTGGAGGTAAGAAAGGAAACTTCCCACCATTGCGACCAAACTTCAGAAACTCGCGTTTGTGGCAGGAACACCGTAGGTGCGACAAAGAGTGGGGAAACTTCATTTATTGGCGAAGAAAACGTGGCAGGGATAGGCACTGGGGGTGGTGGCGGTGAACAAAATGTCGACGGCATAGGCAGTACTAACGATAGTATAAGTGTGAGTACAGGTGTATCGAATAGCACGGAGGAGGGTGTCGCGATCGAAAACGGGAAGGGTCTGTTGCTCTTCGGTTCTAGCGACACGATGGAGGACACGATCAGTTTGTTATTCAATGACTCATTCAACGCGAGTCACCGTCATCCTTGGAACATTAGCTTGTATAACGAGACTATGATTGTTCTAGGTGAGAGTCTCTATCCGTCGGGATATACCCTTCCGCATATTATACTCGCGTCTATCCTGGCGACGTTGCTGATGATCGTGATTGTTGTGGGAAATATGCTAGTAATAATTGCCATTGCCACGGAGAAGGCGCTAAAGAATATACAGAATTGGTTCATAGCCAGCCTCGCGGTAGCGGACTTCTTTCTCGGCCTCGTGATCATGCCATTCTCCCTCGCCAACGAGATCATGGGCTACTGGATCTTCGGATATTGGTGGTGCGACATTTATTCCGCCATGGACGTGCTGCTGTGTACAGCCAGTATCATGAATCTGTGTCTGATTAGTCTGGACAGATTTTGGAGCATCACACAAGCGGTTGACTACCTGAAGAAAAGAACGCCGGCTAGAGCGGCGCTTATGATCGCTCTCGTCTGGCTATTATCGGCGCTCGTTTGTATACCTCCGTTACTCGGGTGGAAAAGACCCACTCCGGCCGAAGAGTATCCCAAGTGCAAGGTGAGTCGATATTTTAAACATTAAGCGAACTGTTACTTATCGATTTTAATTACACATCATAATCGTTATACTTCAGAACGTTTAATTTGAGCGATGAGTAACTCGCAAACTAATCTTGAATTTAGAATTATATATAATTACATATTAAATCGCTACATTAATGGAGATACAAAAATTAAATTATGTCGGTACATCAGCTTAGATTTCTTTAACGAATCGGAAAATTGAAATATCCTGGCAATAGTTGACGAACGTCACTTGCAGTTCTAATCGTTTATTTGCCTCCTTTCGTTATTAAGTTGTTGCAAGCGAAGAATTATTAGAGCGAAGAGGTCAACGTCGAATTCAATTACTTTAGGAAATCAGAATCTTTCTGCGCTGTACATGTCAGAATCAAGGAGTGAGTTAAAATTGAGGAAAGCATTATATTCCAAAATCAAATTATACGTGAAATAAATTTAAAAAAATTTCCTTTTTACTCTTAATCTTTTGAGTCAATCTATTTGCTCTTAATTTAAAAAGTGATCAAGGTGCAAAATCTTATGCACTTTTTATAGCAGCACTGATAATTCTTTTTATCTCTGTCTTTATTTTATATTTAACTTACTTTCTATACGAATTCCATCTCTATAGTAATAATTAACAACAATGTTCCATGGAATATAATTTTATTTCTTTACAGCATATTTTATTTTCTCATGTCTTTCTTTAATATTTTATAAGTAATTTGACTTGCATGACTGGCATTTGATAAGTATGGCTCGCGTTTAAAGCACTTTGATGAATTAATTCATGCGCAAAAAAAATCCTAATGGACTAATCGTTATATAAAAGATAAAGCAAACCTGTTATATAAAAGATTAAGCAAATCTCTCTCCCTAGAGAGATTGTAAGAGAAAGTGCGATGCAAAATTCGCGATGAATTTTTATCTTTAAAATCCTCTTTATCCGCGTATATTATTGTGTGAGTGAGTAGCCTAAAAGGCAATGTCCCCAATGTATAACCAATTTACAATTTGAATATTTTCGACGTATCCTGTCGCATACACGCGAGAAGGAAGAAAGTAAGATGTGGAACCCAGGCAGGCGAAGCCTTCCTGCAACAGCGAAACCCACCCTTATCCAGAGTCCCTTGAATCTCGTTCACGCTGATCTCCACAAAACGGCACTGTGAATTGGATTCCTATGCCCGACAGTTCGATCTACTGAACTGGCATGCTGAAATTCGTATCGGATTCTTTAAAATCTTATATCATTTGCGTAAATTTTATCATTTACTATTTTAATAATGTTTTCTGTGTAACGTTTCACAAAAAATATAACGTTAATATAATAATAAAAAATTATTTTATATTAAAATAATAATTATATTTAAGTAATATTGCTTTATATATATCGGGAAAAATTTGAAATATTAAAACAAATGTTTAATAATAATTTACATTTGTTACATGTATTATAAATGTTTTGCAAATATAAGTATACGCATACAAATGCTTTTATTCTAAATTTTCAACATTTATTGTTCAAAAAGAAGAGTTAGCAGTTCTTTTCATTATTTATTACAATTTCTTACAACGGAAAATAGATAATCTAGAAAAGAGCAAAAAGTGCTTCCGCGCTATTATAATTCCACATGGTGGCGGATGATTGAATGCACCCTTAAACTTCCAACGGAACTAATTACCAGGTATAATTGAGCCATACATTCCTACGGCATATAGTTGTAAAACTTGTTGGCTATGCGAATGATGGATTGTAAAGCATTTTGCAAATGCGCGAATATGTACCATTGCTTTTACATCTGCATAAAATACATTCGAATATAAGTTTAATAACGATAAACAAATTGCGTACTTTTCTCATTAAATCATGTAACTTCTATAATGACGAACTATTACGTGCAACTTGCTTATCTGTTTAAGTCGAGCAATGTCAATTTTCTTTTATATTAAAAAAAAAAATTATATTAAAATTGACGAAACGATAGAGCAAAAAATAGCAGGGAAAGGAAAAGTGTAAACTCGATTACGGGTAGAAAGCACGGCTTTCTTTGCTCGGTATTGAATGAAGCGGCATATCGTGACGATGGAGAAGCGATTATTATGTGCACGAAAATAGAGTCCGTCACGAAGACGTGACGAGTAGAGATCTCGAGAATACATACGTCGATTTACGCGAGGTTGAAGCGTGTCGTTTAAAGATCGGTTGGATCTACAAATGACGTGATGTATTACGAAAAAGATTGAAATTTGATTCTCGGCCATAGTTTGACAAAGAATTCAGTGCACTGTTGTGTATCGTGTCTTACATATATATACATGTAGTATATGCATTAAAAAGTTGCGTTACATCTTATCTGATAAATTTATTTTTAATATAAGAAAAGATAAGAATGCTGCCTTGCAAACAATGATAAAAAATCAATTTTCTTTTTCAATTACGTGTCCATTTGATTAAATCTCTGAGTGAAAATATAAGGTGTATAATTCATTATCTCAAGCACTGAATAGCGATCATGTGTTTTATTAAGTTTCGATCCGTTCATTCTGTTTTTATCTAAACAGTTAAGTTATCGAATAGTTAAACGATGATTTAAATTGTCGTGATATATTAAAAAAAATTTTATGTTCTAATATATAAAAAAAAATTATGTTGCTTTGATATTGTTGTTTATTGTTGTTGTAAAATACATTTTTTTATCTATCCATATTTTTTATAAACTAAAACCGATATTTATGTTACACTGCAAATTATATTATACAAATTATATTTTAATTATATTTTATGTGTATATAATATAAATATAAAATTTATGTTTATAATATAAATATAAAATTTATGTTTATTATATTTATATATATTCTCCTTAGTTTCTTTACTTATTATCTTTTAGCCGCAGGAAAGGATGTGCACTTTTCATTCTTTTAATATTTCCTCTAAAGATTCCTGACGAAAAGATGACACGCGAACATCAGTTAAAACGCATTTTACTATCTTTTTTTGTTCCACTACTTTCCGTTGTACTCGTCATTATGGATCTGACAATCTTGCTCCACGATTTCTTGCTCTCCTTCACATCCTCTTTTCCCATCCATCCAGCCAAAGACACGATGTGAGGTCCTTTTAACCGACGATATTGCCATTGGATTTTTCTGACTGGTGACAAATGGAAGAACGACAAGTACCGTGCAATCGGAACGAAGGGGCGGACGATCACAATCATCACACTTTAATCTTTTAATGCGATTAGATTGGCGCTTCTTCGGCTATTAACAAGAACAAATGGAAAGCGCGATTTGTCTTCTTCACTATTTTTCGCTTATCTACTTCACGAAACTTGGTTGCTAAGAAAATAATATATTTTGTGCATTTGAATAAAATTATACAGAGAAGCCCCTAAAAAATTATATGTTCTTCCGCTTATTGATTCCATGACAAAGTTACAAGCGATTTTTTTACATCAGACGTAATATCTGAAAATAATCTGGTAAAATTGAAATATTTTAATGAAATTTATCATATTCTATCTTTGTATCATGTATTATTATTTTGGGAGTTGTATAAAATCACTAAATATTAAATTTGGTAGAAATTATGTATTATATGTAAAATTCCTACAAATTTGTGTGTACATATACATTTATAGCGAAAAATTTAATATTGCGGAGAAAATAATGGTCATTGATGCTTTTAATGCGATTAGTTTATTTCACCGGCGATACAAGAGAATTAAAGGATGCAAAATGTTGGTTGATGTTTTTCGCAGTCTTCTATTCAGAATTTGAATAAAACGAATAATGGACTTTATATACGTGAGCAAAAATTATTTAACGCGTATTTAGTTTAATTATCTGTAAACTATGTTAAAACAAAGAGGTAATATCAAAGAGGAATCTAGGTAAAATCTAGTCATTAATTCTAAGTCCTGCTTCTGACATAGACTACATTCGGAACACGAGCACTTATAAAACGTTTTGCAAAGTTTATAGCATCATCCAAAGTATCTGAATTTGTTAAGGAAAGTACGCGAGAAGATAGAGAGAGAGAGGGGGGGGGGAGAGAGAGGGAGTTGGTATATATTCAGGAAGGAAGTAGTTCTCACTCTACGTTGTCTTTTAATGCGATTAGTTTAGCAGCTCTACAACGATGCAACGGTGTGCAACGTAGTATAAGTTACCGTTTACAACGAAGTCGCAGTTGTCCTTAATAGGTGACAATGTGAATGTTACATGGCTTTTATATGTCATTTACAACAATGAGTGAATTTTATGCATTTCGATATATTTGTAATTTTCAGTACAACAATTTTTTTTAGGAGAATGTAATCAATTTGTCTTTCGTGCAATTCGTCTCGAAAATCTTTCTTCTTCCTCAGAGTAAGGAATACTTGTAAAGAATCTCGTTGTTACGATATGTAGATATTATATATTGATATTTGTGATTTCTCACATGTCTATGAAGATACGTAATCTTTGGATATATAAAAATAATGTTACAGATATAAATAATTTGATCATTACGAAATCTCTCGATATTTAAACACTTCACTCGAAAAAGTTTGATGAGTTGTATGAGTCATACATATCTTTCTTTATCGGAAATGAAAAATTTATTTCGATTATATTTTCATACTTTTGTCTTTCGAATATATCGTTTCTAATTTCTAATTTATTTAATATCTGAATATGTATGTGTAAAACATTAAATAATATGGAAACTCATTAGTATGATACTTTGACTTAATTACGATATCAATTAGTTCAAAATTTTTTAACTTTTTACTGTGGCTATATATAAATAATTCGTTAACATATTTAAAGAGAAATTTACTTCGGCTTTTACACTAGAAAGCAAATTTATTCATATTTAAAAGTGGAGACTCGAGAAATCAATTATGAAATGAGTAATTTCTACTGGCTAAGCAAGAATGCAAATCACTTTTTAAGCTTTCTTAACGTTACGTAATTGTTACTTTGTATTTATTATTAAGAATGAAA